ATGGGATGAAGATCTGGTTTGAGAAAGTTTGGAGCAGGAGACCAGGTGGGCTCTTACGCAAACCTGCCCTGTTGGTGCTTGATCAGTTCAGGGCACACATAACAAAAAGCACAAAGAAAATTGCTGCAGAGCAAAAAACAAAACTTGCCATCATACCTGGAGGCTTGATATCCCAGCTCCAACCACTTGATGTCAGCATTAACAAACCCGTCAAAGCTGCCATGAGAGATGAATGGAACCAATGGATGAAGTCTTCTGGGGACAATTTGACACCAGCAGAAAGAGTGAAGAAACCAGCTATAGGAGAAGTTTGTACCTGGGTGAAAAGATCCTGGGATAATATCAAGAATGAGATCATTGTCAAGTCATTTAAGAAGTGTGGCATTTCAAATGCCATAGATGGAACTGAGGACGAGGCAATATATGAAGACAGTGATTCGTCATCAGATACAGATGAGGACAATCTAATGGTTGGGAGTTTTGACAGCTATGAGTTGTATGAATTTTATGATAAATAAAACTTGAGTTCAATAACTTTATCTAATACATTTTTTTTCAAATTTCGGGCCCCAAAATTAAGGTGCATCTTATATACATGGGAGCATCTCATACATGGGGAAATACAGTAGGTTCAAGAACCTTCTAAAGAAAAGGGAAAGACTGAGCAAGTCAAGGTTTGAGTTCATCAATCACATGTGTTCTGAGAGCCTCTGAAAGTGACATACAGGCAGTCATGTGGCATCAAGAGCTTGCGATGCTATTGAGATGCAGATCTCTACAGATAGGTTAAGTGAAACCAAATGTGTGGGGCTCTAAAAAGAATGGGTTATTGACAGGCAGTGACCTGACATTTTAAATGACCACAGGTAATGTGGTGGACAGAACCCTGATGCCTAAAGTCTACTGGCTGGGGTGCAAGTCTGTGGGAAGCGCTTCCCAGAAGTTGGGTGGCCTGTCGTAATCACGGTCCCCTACCATGTTCCCTATGAGAAACTCTCAAGGGCTTGTTGGCACCCAGGTGAAATGACATTTACCAGTCAAGTGTCATTGTGCCTATTTGGGTCTTAGGTCAACCATTTATTTCTTCAAAAACTGGATGCTAAATCTTAAATATTTGTTGCATTTAATAAAAACTAAATGACATCTATTGGTCATATGCTATAATTTACAGCAGAGATAAATATTAACAATTTTTAAAAACCAGAATACAGCCTGATTGTCCCTTATTTTAAAAAAAGACTTTTTGCTGCCGTTTTGGGTAATCCAACTCCAGATGGTAACTGAATGAAAAGAACCAACTCGGTGCTGCCTCCCTCAAAGCACCTGATAGGCATCTAAGAAGTTAGATAGCCAGCACGTTTGCTGTCTATCCTCTGTCCAGAGATCATCCTCTGTTTGAATTGTTTCATGATTTGGAAAGAGCAAGAGACTAGAGAGGATGGACAGAAAGAAATTCATTCTCGGTGAAGCTCTGTGGACACTAGATTGTTGATGTGTTTGGCACAGTGTCCCCGAAAAACTTGAGTAGTTGTGCGGACACACGAAGCCAGGATGTGTGTGTTATAGCACGCAGCCCGCTGTCACCACTGCTGATCTGTGAACCTTTGTTCTGTTCTCAGCTCATCAAACAGATGATTGACAGCACATCCAGCGGTGGTGTCACAGTCAACGATGTTATCATGCACTTCATTCTTTCTTCTTTACCCTTTGGAGGAGTGGGTGAGTATTCCTCTCGCCTGTTCACAGCAAATATTTCAAAATTTTTTAGGAATAGCTGCTGCTTTTTTTTTTTTTAAACCGGAATAATTTATTATCCTAACAAAAGTACAAAGTATGGAAAATTAGTGTACTTGAATCATTTCAGAGAGTAGAGAAAGTACCACGCTAGCAGATTGCTGTTTTTAGCACCTTTGAACAGAAATAATCAGAGTGAAGACAAGCGGCAGCCAGGCCTCTGACCGACCACCTATGGTGAGAGGGTCCTCTTGACTTAGGGTGTGCAGCGCATAGAATAGTGCAGTCACCTAGGTTTTCCTCTACATTTTGAGAGTGCACCAAAGAACGCTTAAAGAGAATGACAAAGGTGTTCACTGAATTCATGGCTGGTGGTTAGAAGATGGAAGAGAGTTGCTGAGACAAAGTAGCTGGCGGGCGGACGCGGAGCTCAGATGGACAGTCCGAAGGCGCTGACGATGCAGTACATGGTCTTGTTCTCCCATCGCACGGTGCAGCTCCCGTCAGTAGAGCTGTCCCAGAAGCAAGAACTCGCCGTGTGTAATCCTGCTCCATTCTTCTGCATAATTACACAGGTCACAATGTATTTAAATGGTTTCCCCAGCTTGGTGAGTTGGCTTAACGTTTGCTCCACTACGTTTGTGGTCCACTGATTCACTTTGCTGTGCTGGTAGGCGTTGCCACCAATTGAACCTTCTATGGCCTCTTTCACAATGTTGCTCACTTCATCAACAACAAAAGCAGTCTCTTCCGCAGACTGAAAGTCTTCCATCTTTCCCGCTGCTGCTTTTGCACATCTCTGATTGTCCTGTCCTGAGAGAGAGACATTCCCTCACCACCCAGGTGAAAGTCTTCTTCCCGCCACCCCTCCAGGCACTCTGTTGAGGGGTTAATCTCTGTCCTGTCACTCACCTTTTATCCTTAGTAGCACTTACCACATTCATTATTTTGTTCCTTTCATTGGCTTGTTTATTATCCTCCCAGATTTAGGGGATTTTTTTGGCCAACTATCAGGTTTCAAATTAGTAAGGTCCCTCTGTCTTTGTTTTAAGGGAGGTAGTACACAACAGGTTGCAGATGCCAGGAGCAGATAGCAGTCCGAAATCCCTGTGCTTCTGCTCAGGGTAGTATTAAGTGGGACTCACTGTACTGCTCCCCAGCCCTGTGTCCAGAGATCAGCTTCTACTTGAATTGTTTCATGATGTGATGGAACAAGAGACTTCCTATGTTCTAGAGAGGATGGGCAGAAAGAAACTCATTGTTGGTGCAGCTCTGTGGACACAGCCTGGTCCCTACTGCTCCCTTTGGGCTGTGACCTGACTGCCTCTTTTACACCTGGGGTGATTGACGCAACTGTGTTTTTTTTTTCCTTTAGGATCTAGGTGGTAGGCTTCTCTATGATCTATTAGAGATATTACAAAATAACAAATGGGTAGAAAATTCTCATAGCAAAAACCAGACAATAAAAGCCACTGGCTCCAAAGTTCCTGTTTTATTCTCTTCCTCTGTAATACCATTCCATGGGAATGAAATTACCCCATTTGGCCTGTTAACCACCTGTTCCTATTTAAGACAAGCTTGTCCCAAGAAACCCTGGCCTGCTTCCCATGATTGCAACACATCTCTTTTTAGTATATAAACATACTGCCAGCACCCAGCACAATGCCTGGCATATATGAAGGACAGGTGAGGAGAGTCCGGGTCAATATTGTCAGATCCAGACTAGAGCTGGTGGTAGCTTGGACTAGGATGGTGGCAGGGGAGCTAATGGAAAGAAAGTGTTATTTTGGAGGGTTAAGCGGTATGATTTGCTAATGGATTGAATGTGTTTGGGTGTGGGGAGAGATGGTGAGTGAAAGAAAGTATGGTTTGTGGGGTTTGGGCTGAAGTTACTATAGTTTCACTGCCCAATCATTTTAGGGAATTGGATTGACTGTTGTCTCTAGTTCCTCCATGCCGCATGGGATCTTGGTTCCCAACTACAGCAGCAGCCAGACTCGTTGCTCCATGTGAGGCCACAGGCGCCTGCTAAGAGCAAATCTGGTGACCTGGGCTCCATCCCTGTCATCCTTGACTAGATAGCATTTGGCATCATTGACCATACTCTCTTCTTTATAACAAAATACCCCCTCGCCCCCAAATGCAGAAGGAATATAGGCTTTTAAAGAAAACTTGGAAAAGATAGAAGAACCCAAAGAAAATTTAGATTACCCATGCCCCCACTATTTAAAGATAACCTCTGGTGTCCTTAAAATTCTTTTCCTTGCATATATGTGCAAACACACAAATGCATGACTACTTTGTTGAAAAATGGTATCCTATTGTATATTACTTTCTGCTTCATATGTGACATATAGCATGACATTTTCCCATTTCAGTATGCTTGCATGTCATGATTTTAGTAATTCCATACTATTTCATTATATAAATGCAGCATATTTAATTCCTGATATTAGGTTTCTGTGATTTCAATTTTTTGGCATTATGATTCTAATATATATTTTTGTGCTATATCTGATTATTTCCTTAGGAAAAATGTCTAGAAGTATAATTGCTGTGTTAAAGGTGCTTATATATTTTTTTCAAAATGAAATGCTTTTTTCTTTTAATTCTAAAAGTAATACAGGTTTTTTTGGGAAAAAAGGGCAAGAACAAAACACTACAGAAAATTACAAGGAAAAATGTAATAACCTCTCAGGCATAAACACTATTAATATTTGGCGTAGAGTTTAGATTTTCCTTTAAAAGTGCATATCTATTAATACGTCTTGACAGATTTCCCTACAGCTTCAGCCATCACCTAATGATACCCCAGCAGCCCAGCCCCAGTAAACTGCTTCCTGGCCTCCAGCCACCCCTACCTTATGCCCCTGTGCCATACACATGTATCTGCCTGACACCCATGATGGATAGAGAAATGAAAACTGGCACAGAGCATGGCTTTTTGAGAGAGCAGAGATTTGCACTTACTATCATCCATCTGTGTAACCCTGTCATCCTGGTGTTTGTTACTTTCTAGGAGCGTAAAGGAAGCCAGTGGGTTTGTAGGGCTATGGGTAAATAAAGCCACGTGAAATGTTGGGAAAAGAGCACACACAGCACTTAAAGCCAGGTCAGCCTGGGTTTACATTCGGCCTTGGTATTTTTCACCTTGGGCAAGTACCTGCCCCTGACCCTGCTAGGCTCCCCATTCCCCCTCTGGAATTGGGGGCGGTGATGCTTTATGCGGTGGGGGTGGGGTGGGGGGGCAGGGCTGGAACCAGGACATTGAGTTAATCAAGGTCCCTGCCACCATCCCTGAGAGCTGCAAACCCTTGCCCTGCTCTTGGAAAGCGTCCTGTTTGACATAGATTCACCTTGCTGGGGAATGCTCGGAAGAATTTCCTGAAAAGAACCACTTGTGCTGGCTGCTAAGTTGAACAGTGCTGTTTGAGGCAGCAGGATGATCTGTAGGTTTCCTCCACCAGAAGTTGCTGGTGTCACCTACAGCGGAGCCTGTTTTGTCTGTTCCCTTTATTTCAGGTTCAAGTGGGATGGGAGCTTACCACGGAAAACATAGTTTTGATACTTTTTCTCATCAACGTCCCTATTTATTAAAAAGTTTAAAGAGAGAAAGTACTAACAAACTGAGATACCCTCCCAACAGCCAGTCAAAGGTGGATTGGGCAAAATTTTTTCTCTTGAAACGGTTCAACAAAGGAAAACTCTGCCTCCTGTTCCTTGCTTTCCTGGGCATTGTGGCAGCTATGCTTGTCAAGGTAAGTCCCTGTGACTCTCGAGGTTACAGTCCTTCTGATCATGCCCAAATGGCTGCCAGCTTGCATTTCTTTGGTCTTGGAAGCGCCACTAATTTTTTAATTGAAATTCTTCTCTCTCACAGTAACTTTTAGTCTAAGAAGGCAGGGTGGGTTGGCAAACTACAGCCTGCTGGCCAGCCACCTGTGGTCTGCTTGGGTCACAGCGCCTGTCTTTTTCAGA